TTTATTTATTTATTTATTTATTTATTTGTTTATAGGAAGACCCATTCGAGTGGACTGGAGTGAACAGGGGCCCCGCCGCAAGTTCCTCCCAAGTGGGCCCCAGGGGGGCCCCCACGGGGGCCCCCATGGGGGCCCCCATGGGGGCCCCCATGGGGGCCCCCCTAGAGAGGGTACTGAGGGGGCCCCCTCTACTGTTGGGTTATTTGACTCAAGTGGCTGTTTAACTCCAGCAGCTGTTGCGGTGGGTTTAAATCTTTTTGTCATTTCTTTTATTTGAATTTTATTTTGTTTTATTTTGTTTTATTTTGTTTTATTTTGTTTTATTTTTATTTTTATTTTTTGCTTCTTTTGGTGTTTCTTATTTCTTTTTATATTCTTTTTCTCTTTGTCTTTTTGTTTCCTTTTGGGTCCTAATAAGACACTTTTGGCTTTTTGTTTTATCTTTTTCGTTTTTCTTTTCCCTTTCCCTTTTATTTATTTTCTTTATTTCTTTTTTATTTTATTATTTAATTTCAAATTTCATTTTCCTGCGCCGAAAGCTCCCCAAACCCTAAACCCTAAACCCTAAACCCTAAACCCTCGAGAGTGGGTTTGCTGCAGGCTGCTGAGGCCTTCACTTTGGGAGACCTCGAGCAGCTGCTGGAGGAGCTGCGGCTGCTGCTGCCCTCTACGGGTTCGCTGCTGCAGCAGCTGCTGCAGCAGCAGCCGCTGCTGCGTGCTGCGCTGCTGCAGGCGCAGCTGCTGCTGCACCGCCACAGCCACATAGATGTTTCCGTGGGTTTTCAATTAATTTGAATTCAATTTAATTATTTATTTTATTTTATTTCATTTTTATTTCATTTTATTTTATTTTTATTTCTTTTATTTTCTTTTTCCGCAGTTTGGCTGCGGGCTGCCGCCCCAGTCCTTGCTGAGTTGCGGTGTATGTACACCTGAACCTGCCCACTCAGTGTTTGCGATCCAGACACCTAAATGTGATTTATTTATTTTATTTAAATGGCATTTAAACATTTATTTCTCATCCATCACAATTTGCTTTTATTTATTCTGCAACTGCGCTCCTCTCCGCTGTCTAGACGCAGTGTATGTACACCCCAAGCTGCACAGACACACCAATCCGTTTGTCTTCTTAATTAAATGCATGCTTCCACTTTTTGTAATCTTTACCACTTTATGTTTTTTTGCATTCCTCCCTTTTGCCTGTGATTTGCTGCTCGCATGCGCACATCTAGACTTGATTCCTGCAAGCCTAGCTAGCTAGCTAGCTAGCTAGCTAGCTGGCTAGCTAGCTGCGTATCTAGCTAGCTAGCTGGCCAGCCGGATAGCCGTCTGTCTAGCGGGCCATTTGTCTGGCCAGCTAGCTAGCCAGCTAGCAAACCAACTAGCTAGCCAGATAGCTATCCACCTAGCTAGCCAGCCAGCTAGCCAGCTAGCTAGCTAGCTAGCCAGCTAGCTAGCTAGCCAGCCAGCTAGCTAGCTAGCCAGCTAGCTAGCTAGCTGGCTAGCTAGCTGCGCGCCTTTGGCGTGGAGTGTCCCTTGAAGGGGGCGTTGTGGGGTGTCTGTACACCGCAGGGAGTGACAGCAGCAGCAATCCAGCGAGCTGAAGCAGCAGCAACGCAGCAGCTGCTGCTGCAGTGCCGGGCCCTGAGGGCCCCCACTTTGAGGGCCCTTTCAGCAGCAGCGCCGCAGCCTGCGGCGCTGCGGGGCCCCCAGGGGCCCCCTGCTGCGCTGCAGCGCCACAAGAGAAGTGGGCGTGCTTTGGGGCCCTTTTCGGGGACTTTAGCTCGTTTTTAGTGGTTTTAAATCGATTTAATTGATTTAAATTGATTTTAATTGTTTTTAATTGTTTTTTATTCTTTTAAACGGCTTTAAATGGCTTCAAATGGACTTTTTGAGGCTTTTTGACGCAATAAAACAAACAAGTGACACACTTGCATGCGCTTGTTTCTCTCGGGAATGCGTCAGTATTCTTTTCCCCAGTTCCAGCTGCCTTCTGCATGCATGCATGCATGCATGCATGTTTGTGCATGCATGCAGGTAGAATGAGTAGATAGGGGTGGCTAAATAGCGTTATAAATAATAAGGAATGGAGAATAAATAATGGAGATTGTGTTTATATATTTATTAATTATTTTTTAAAATGTTGTTTGTGGGTGTTGTGGCGCAGCAGCAAAACCAGCTGCTGCTGCTGCGCTGCAGCCAGCAGCAGCTCAGCAGCAGCAAGAGCCCCGCATCTCCGTGAACCCGCCCTCAGGGCCTGCAGCGTGGCGAGAGCCATCTGCTGCTGCTGCTGCTGCTCCTGCTGCTGCTCCTGCTGCTGCTGCTGCTGCTCTTACTCCTGCTGCAGCAGCAGCAGACAGACTTGGGGTGGGGGCCGGCGGAATATCGCTGTCTCCCCTCACCCCCGAAGGCCCCCCAGCAGCAGCAGCAGCAGCAGCAACGCCACTGCCAGCAGCAACAGCAGCAGGAGTCCCAGCAGCAGCAGCAGCAGCAGCAGCAGCAGCAGCAGGGAGTTACGGGGAGGACGCAATGAGTTTCGGGTGTCGCCAGAAGCGGAAGGCGGAGGAGGAGCTGCTGCAGCCGCCGCAGCAGCAGCAGCAGCAGGTTGCTGCTGCTTCGACGGCCCCCAGCAGCAGCAGCAGCAGCAGCAGCAGCATGAATTCAAAAGAAGGGAATTGGCTCTCCGAAGAAGAGGCGAGGGCCCCTCCTGCTGCAGAGGCTTTAATAGAAGAGCTGCTGCGGTCTCAGGGGCTTTTGGAGAAGTGCGTAGAAATAAATATAAATTAGTTTTAATAAATTTAAATTAATTTAATTTAATTAATTTGAATTAATTTAATTAATTCAAATTAATTTAATTAATTCAAATTTAAATACATATCGCCAAAGGACGAATCGGCGAAAACGGCCAGCGCGGCCTCCCGCGAGAACAGCAGCAGCAGCAGCAGCAGCAGCAGCAGCAGCAGCAGGCGCTGCCGGTTGCGAGTTAGTGAATTTTTGTTTCTTGGATTTAAATAGTTCTTATTTATTTATTTTATTTTTTGTTTTATTATTTTATTTATTTATTTATTTTATTTATTTATTTGTTTTATTTATTTAATTTATTTGTTTTTATTCTTCAGAGTGCTGCACATAACGCATGCAGAAGTGGCTCGTTTGGAGCCGCAGCACCGGCAGCAAATCTTCTCGCTGCGGCGCGCGCTGCGCGCTCGAGGTCTGCTGCAGCAGCCCGTGCAGCTTCCCTGAGTGTCCGCTGCGGACGCCTTGTCTAACTTTATTTCCAAAGCAGCCTTTGCTGCAGCGAACTACTACCTGCGCCTCTGCCGCAACAAACTACTTTCCTCGCGCTGCTGCTGCTGCTGCTGCTGCTGCTGCTGCAGCAGCAGCAGCAGCAGCTAGAAGTGCCTTTCCGAACTGTCCCACGCAGCACCTCCAAACAAACCTAAACACTTCTAAACAAATCTAAATCAGTCCAAAAGTCCGAAAAGCGCGGAAAACCGCAGCCAAACCCCCCTCCCCTCCCGCTGCAGCAGCTGCAGCAGCAGCAGCTGCTGCAGCAGCAGCAGCAGCAACTGCTGCTGCAGCAGCAGCTGCTGCAGCAGCAGCTAGAAGCCCTCTCCGTATCCCTCTTCTTCAGCCTCCCCCTCTGCAGTCTCAATCCCCACTTCCTCACAATCCTTTTCTAATGCTGCCAAGTCCTCTCTGGCCTCTGAGAACTCGCCCTCCCCTCCCGCTGCTGCTGCAGCAGCACAGCTGCTGCTGCTGCTGCTGCTGCTGCTGCAGCATCTAGAAGTCCTCTCCGTACCCCTCTTCTTCAGCCTCCCCCTCCGCAGTCTCAATCCTCACTTCCTCATAGTCTTTCTCCAGCGCCGCCAAGTCCTCGCGGGCCTCTGAGAACTCGCCCTCGCCTGCTGCTGCCGCTGCTGCTGCTGCTGCTGCAGCACATCTGCTGCTGCTGCTGCTGCAGCAACTAGAAGTCTTCACCATATCCCTCCTCCTCAGCCTCCCCTTCAGCAGTTTCAATCCCAACTTCTTCATAATCCTTCTCTAATGCGGCTAAGTCCTCTCTGGCTTCTGAGAACTCCCCCTCTTCCCCTCCCGCTGCAGCACATCTGCTGCTGCTGCTGCTGCTGCTGCTGCAGCAACTAGAAGTCCTCTCCATATCCCTCCTCCTCAGCCTCTCCCTCAGCAGTTTCAATTCCAACTTCTTCATAATCTTTCTCTAATGCGGCTAAGTCCTCTCTGGCTTCGGAGAACTCCCCCTCTTCCATGCCCTCGCCGACATACCAGTGGACGAAGGCGCGTTTGGCGTACATCAAGTCGAACTTGTGGTCCATTCTGGAGAAGACTTCCGCAATTGCCGTACTATTGCTAATCATGCAAACAGCTCTCATAACTTTCGCGAGATCGCCCCCAGGAACCACCGTGGGGGGCTGGTAGTTGATGCCGCACTTGAATCCCGTGGGGCACCAGTCCACGAACTGAATGGTTCTTTTGGTTTTAATTGTTGCAACTGCTGCATTTACATCTTTTGGAACAACATCGCCTCTATACATTAAGCAGCAAGCCATGTACTTGCCGTGGCGGGGGTCGCACTTGGCCATCATGCTCGCGGGCTCGAAGGCGCTGTTGGTGATCTCGGCCACGCTCAGCTGCTCGTGGTAGGCTTTTTCGGCGGAGATTATCGGCGCGTAAGAGGAAAGCATGAAGTGAATGCGAGGATAAGGCACTAAGTTCGTTTGGAACTCAGTGACGTCCACGTTTAAAGCTCCGTCGAAGCGCAGCGAGGCTGTCAGTGAAGATATCACCTGCGCGATCAGCCTGTTCAAGTTCGTATACGTTGGCCGCTCGATGTCCAAGTTCCGCCGGCATATGTCGTAAATCGCTTCGTTGTCCAGCATTACTGCCACGTCAGTGTGTTCTAAGAGCGAGTGGGTGGAAAGCACGGAGTTGTACGGCTCCACCACGGCCGTGGACACCTGCGGCGACGGCCACGAGCAAAAGTTCAACTTGCTCTTCTTCCCGTAGTCCACTGACAGCCGCTCCAGCAACAAACACCCCAAACCCGAGCCCGTGCCGCCTCCCACCGCGTTGAACATCAGAAAACCCTGCAGACCCGTGCACTGGTCCGCCAGCTTCCGGATCCGGTCCAAAGACAAGTCCACGATTTCCTTCCCTATCGTGTAGTGCCCCCGCGCGAAGTTGTTCGCAGCGTCTTCCTTTCCCGAAATCAACTGCTCAGGGTGAAACAAGTGCCGGTAAGTCCCCGTGCGCACTTCGTCCACCACCGTCGGCTCCAAGTCCAGAAACACGCACCGCGGAACCTGCGCAGACACCGCACAATAAACCCCAATCCTGCGGAATCCTGCAGCTATATCGAGTCCTCAAACCCAAACACGCTTTTATTCCCCAAAATTCCACGCGAAAACCCAAAAAAAACACCAAGATCGCGCTCCAGAAACTCCGAACCGCGCTGCCGCCAACCCAACACACAGCCACACTCACGTGCTTCCCGGCCCCCGTCTCGGAGAAAAAAGTGTTAAAGGCGTCGTCGCCGCCTCCCAGGCTTTGGTCGGGGGGCATTTGCCCGTCCGGCTGAATGCCGTGCTCGAGGCAGAACAGCTCCCTGCAGCAAACAGCAGCAGCAAAACAAACCCGCACAAGCCGCTCGGCCCACCCCAGATCGCCGCGCCAAACCCCCCAAAACGCTCCCCGACACTCCCCACGAAATTCTTTGACAAAATTTATTCCTATTTTGACACTTCCGCACGCGTAAAGCCGCGGCAGCGCCGAGGCTAGTGGCCCATGATGGGCCGCTGCAACGCCCAGCGCGGCGCATCCGCGCTCGTGTGCGGCTTCTTAACCCGAATTTCACGCATAATCGCATCAAATGCATCAAACTGCAGCGATAAGGGGGAAATAAAGCTGCAGCAGCAGCCCGGCTCGCAGCCACGCAGCAGAAGCCCAGCTTTCCTCGCAGCGGCAAGCGAGGTGGGTGGGTGTTGAGGTGCCCAGCTTCAGTGGTTCCTGCGGCTCAAATTTCAAATAAATCCGCTCACCAGCAGGCATTTCCAATTTGAATGCCGGCCTGGCCGACGTGGATGCTGATGACTTCTCTCATTTTCGCGGAAAGGCTGGCAGCAGGAGAGTGCGGAACAGGCAAGCGGGCAGGCGCTGCAGACTGGATGTCTCGCCGAGGCGTCAAGAGTCAAAGCTTTGCAAATGCTGAAATTCCCGAGTCAAGCGTCCAACGAGGAGGAGCACTTAACCATGAAATTCCAAAATAAAGACATGGGCAGCAAATCAAGGCCACCAGCGCGCCACCACCACCACCGCAACACCCGTGCGCAGCGGTAGCGAGGGCCGCCCCAGACTGCACCGCCTAGCCCGCCATCGGCCTGCGGCCGCCTTCCGAAGGCCAACTTTTCCGCTATAAAAGCAATTCATTGGTTTATTTTCGCAAAATATTCGCCAAAAATGCAACAAAAGGGTGCAAGCCGCGGCCCGGCGGACTCCCTGACGCCCGTTTCCGCTATTCGAGTTGCTGCTACGAGTTCGGCCAGCTGTTGCTGCAAGACTCTGCAGCTGACACTCGCTAGGAGCCTCTCTATCGCCTTAAGCCACACCTCTAGTCATTTTTTAATCAAAAATATTATGTTTTAATTGTTGTTTCCCGCCTTTTGCCTCTGGGCGCGTTGATCCGGGTCAGTGGCCTCCGCCGCCACAGAACAGCAACCACCGCCAACGCGCCGGGCAAAGCGTGGAAATAAAGCAAAAGTAGACATTTAAAAATCATTCTTAATATATCTCTTGCGAGTGGCTGACTCTGGCTTGCTTTGTGCAGCAGCTTTCCTTAAAACCCCAGCCAGTGGCTATTCACGCACTACACATTCAAGTTTTCGGCGTGCAGCCAAAAACTTGAATGTGCGCCTCTGTGTTCAAGTTGTGCTGCGCCAGAGTCGCCAGGCAGCACAAGTGAGGCAAAGAAAGTGAAAATGATTTTCTTAGAAATGAATTGTCCAGGCCAGCCCTTAAGAAACTCTCGAGACCACAACAAGGCAGTGCAACAAGAGGCTTAGGAGCCTTCTAGGCTTCACCAGCCCCAGCCAAGCACTCACTGACATGCCCAGAAAGTGCTGTCAAGCCCGGAAAAAGCTAAAGATCTCCCATAAATAGAAATGCAACAACTCGAAAACACTGGCAGCAGGGGTCTTGAGGCTTTTTTGAAACAGAAACAGCTCAAAAACACTACAAGTGACATTCATTTGCTGAGCCTCCAGCACAACGTGCGAAGCTTCTGCTGCACAAGTGGAGTTTTTGTCTAATTCATTTGCATGTCGCTAAAAGGCTCTAAGTGGCCCTTGTGCATCTCTTACAAGTCCCGAGATCCTTCTGATAAGCTAAGTAGTTGCTGCATGCATTTGTTGTCAGTTTTATTCAAAGAGCTGTTCATGTCTGCGAAACGCCTAAGTGCAATGCGCTGTTCTGGCCCCTCCAGGGCATTTGAACGGAAGCAGACTCGGAAAAGACAAATAAAAAAGATTCAAAAGATTCAAAAGATTCAAAAGATTCAAATAAAACTCTTGGAGCCAATTGAAGCCCTTCAGCTCCCCCGGGCTAGCTGGCTCTGTGTGTTCCAGGCAGCAGCAGCTGCGGCTCACTGACACGGGAAGACAGCTGCAGCAGCAGCTCAGGAGCTCCCGCTGCACTTATTTGGAAACAAAAGTTCGTTTTTGCATCAAAGAGAACTTCCCTCTGCCGCGGGCACTCCGCTTTCCTCCAAGAGGCTCCGCAGTGCAAGTCGCGAGTTCAAGTCCAGCATGAGTTCCACGTTGGTTCTTCCCCTCCACGCGGGCACCTGCAGCAGCAGCAGCAGCAGCAGCAGCAGCAGCAGCAGCAGTTCAGAAGCAAAAAGTCGAAAAGACAGAAGTCAAAAGATCCGCAGCAGCAAACGCTGCATGCGCGCTGCGAAAGCAGCAACCCGTTGCTGCTGCAGCTGCCTCAGCGCCGCCGAAGCTTCTGCTGCAGCCGCAGCTCTTTGCAAAACCCTCACCGCCACGTTGCTGCAGCAGCAGCTGCAGCAGCAGCTGCTGCTGCTGCTGCTGCTGCTTGCGCAGCCAGCTGCTCGCGGGATCTTGGCGAGGAGCAGCAGCGAGCCCTCGCAGGAGCTGTCCACGAGGACTTGGCCGCAGGGAAGCTCCTGGATCTTCTTGAAAGGAACTCTTCTGTCTTCTTGTTTTGTGGCCACCAGCCCGTACAAAAGCTCGCAAGGAATCCGCAGCACTCGCCGCCCCGCAGCCTCGCTGGGCCGCGCCGAAAGCCCGCACTGCGCCGCCGCCTGCTGCTGCTGCTGCAGCAGCACCTGCTGCTGCTGCTGCTGCTGCTGCAGCTGCTGCTGCTGCGAATCTGCAGCAAAACCACTCAAAACCTCGCAAAACGGGGCCAGCCACTGAGAGCCCCCGTAAGCCACGCGGAAGACCCCCCTGGCCCGCGCCTGGAAAGCCAGGCAGCCGGCGTTCACGATCTTGTAGCGGGAAGCGCCCAGGGCCCGCGCGAAAGTCTGAACTCCTTCGGAAACGAAAAAAAGTCTTCGCGGAATTCTTTTAAATTCATTTGGAATTCTTTTAAATTCATTTTCACTTCCAAAAGGCTCTTCGCCGGCCTCCAGACCGCAGCTTTCCGCTGCTTTCCGCCGGAAGTACAAGTGCGAACGCAGCCGCTGCGCTGCTGCCCGCAGCTCCGGACTTGTGTTTTTTTCCGACAAAATTTCGTCGCGAACTTCCAAAGTTTCAAAAACCAGTTTAGTTGTTTCTTCTAAAGTGGCAAGAGACACAGCCGGCGCAGAGGATCCGGGCTGCAGCGGCGGCCCGCAGCCCGGGCTGCTTGCTGCTGCTGCTGCTGCTGCTGCTGCTGCTGCGGGTTGCACAGCTGCAGCTGCTGCTGCAGCGGCCTCGCTCGCCTCAGATTTCAAGTCTTGCTCGGCTTCCCCGTCCAACTCGCGGCGCTTTTCTTGCGCGAGCAGCAGCAGCTGCTGCTGCTGCTGCTGCTGCTGCTGCTGCAGCTGCTGCTCCTGCTGCTGCAGCAGCTCGGGCTGCCAGTCGAGGCCGACCATGTCCAGCTGGATCTGTTCAAAACGCCGGGCTGCCGGCCCCGCAGCAGCAGCAGCAGCTGCTGCTGCTGCAGCAGCTGCAGCAGGATCTTCATCTTCCGAAGTTTCCTCAGCTTTTATTTTGTCTTCAAAGTCCTTTTGCTGCTTTTCCGGATCTTCCAAATGGTCCACTGGACCACAAGGCTTTCCAAGAGGCACTTCCCGCACTTTCCGCAGCACTGCCACGAAAAAACCCCCTGCAAACAAATCAGCAGCAAAGCTGCAGCAAATCAGCAGCAAAGCTGCAGCAAATCAGCAGCAAGTCTGCAGCAAAGCTGCAGCAAAGCTGCAGCAAGTCTGCAGCAAGTCTGCAGCAAGTCTGCAGCAAGTCTGCAGCAAGTCTGCAGCAAGTCTGCAGCAGGATATCTTTGCTGCTGCGCAGCAGGCGCGGGAGCAGCAAGCTCCGCCACTGGGAAACTGGCCGAGTTTTTGGCTTTAAGGAAGCTGTGCTGCAGCAGCAAGAAAGATCTGCTGCTGCAGCAAGAAATTTCTGCTGCTGCAGCAAGAAAGCTCTGCTGCAGCACCAAGAAAGCTCTGCTGCAGCACCAAGAAACCTCTGCTGCAGCAGCAAGAAAGCTCCGCTGCAGCAGCAAGAAAGCTCCGCTGCAGCAGCAAGAAAGCCCCGCTGCAGCAGCAAGAAAGCTCTGCTGCAGCAGCAAGAAAGCTCTGCTGCAGCAGCAGCTGCTGCAGCGCACCAGTGTTGTTCAAGTGCGGCAAAAAACGCATGCAGCGCTGCAGCGGCACCGCAGAGGGCCCCAAAGGGGGAAACATCGACTGGCGGATTTTCTTGAGAGCTTTTGCTGTTTTGGGGACTTGGGCGAAAGAGTCGAACCAGCGGCCTTCCCAGTGCACCCGCCCTGCAGCAGCAGCAGCAGCAGCAGCAGCAGCAGCAGCAGCAGCAGCAGCAGCAGCAGCGGCGGGGGCTGCAGACTCGAACCAGCTGCCTTCCCAGTGCACACGCCATGCAGCAGCAGCAGCAGCAGCAGCAGCGGCAGCAGCAGCGGGGGCTGCAGACTCGAACCAGCGGCCTTCCCAGTGCACGCGACTGCAGCAGCAGCAGCAGCAGCAGCAGCAGCAGCAGCAGCAGCAGCAGCAGAGGGGTTTAAGGACTCAAAAATGAAATAAAAATATAAAAAGCTTTTCTCACAACTGCTTTTTCCCGGACTCCGCCGCAAAGACGGCAAATCCCGCGAACAGTCCTCCAGCTCGACAGCCCCGCCGGACTTCGCCTGCAGCGCAGCAGACGCAGCAGCAGCAAAAGAACTTTCAGGACTTTTGCATGCATGCATTTGCATGCATGCATTTGCATGCATGCATTTGCATGCATGCATTTGCATGCATGCATTTGCATGCATGCAAGAAGTGCAGTTCTTGCATGCATGCAAGAAGTGCAGTTCCTGCATGCATGCAAGAAGTGCAAGAACTGCTCTTCTTGCATGCATGCAAGAACTGCAAGAACTGCAGTTTTGCATGCATGCAAGAACTGCAGTTCCTGCTTGCATGCATGCATGCATGCATGCAGTTTTGCATGCATGCATGCACGCATGCATGCAGTTTTGCATGCATGCATGCATGCATGCATGCATGCATGCATGCATGCATGCATGCATGCATGCAGTTTTGCATGCATGCATGCATGCATGCAGTTTTGCATGCATGCATGCATGCATGCATGCAGGCAGTGTTGCATGCATGCAAACTGACAATGGCGGCGCAGACGACAGCCTCGTTCTCGACGGGGTTGAGAGCGCAGGTGCTGTAGACGAGGCGGCCGCCGACTTTGCAGAGTTTTATTCCCCTGCAGCAGCAAAGCAGCGAGAGTTTGCTTCCGTGGCTAGCTAGCTAGCTGGCTAGCTAGCTGGCTAGCTGCAGCTAGCTGGCCAGCTAGCTAGCTGCAGCTAGCTGGCCAGCTAGCCAGCTATGGCTGGCTGGCTAGCCAAAGCGCTGGCCCACTCGCTAGCCAGCTGCAGTTCTGGCTCGCTCGCTAACTAGCTAGCTGCCAAGCAAACTAGCTAGCTAGCTAGCTAGCTAGCTACAGCTCTCTCTCGCCAGCCAGGTAACTAGCTAGCTAGCCAGCCGGCTAGTTAGCCACAGCTCTCTCTCTCTCTCTTTCGCCAGCTAGCCAGCCAGCTAGCTAGCTAGCTAGCTAGCTAGCTAGCTAGCTGGCTAGCTGGCTAGCTAGCTAGCTAGCTAGCTAGCTAGCCGCACCTGAGGAGAAGCTGGAGCTGCAGGCGGTGGCAGCCGAGCCCCTGGTGAGGACTCCAGGAGGCCCAAAGGCCGCGGCTTTTGCGCAGAGTGCCGTCGCCGGAGCAGGGGGCGTCGCAGAGCACTGCGTGGAACTGCAGCGGGGCTTCTTTGCTGCTGCTGCTGCTGCTGCTGCTGCTGCTGCTGCTGCTGCTGCTGCTGCTGCTGCGGGGGGGGGGGAAGACTGTGGGGAAGAACTGCGCCGCGTGCGAAGTCACCAGCAGACAGGGAGAGTGCAGGTGCCGGAGGTGGTGCACCAGCCTGCGCCCAGCAGCACACCGCTGCTGCTGCTGCTGCTGCTGCTGCTGCTGCAGCTGCTGCTGCTGCTGCTGCTGCTGCTGCTGCAGCAAGTGGAAGTGGCTTACATGTGAGCCCTCGTCGCGTCCGCGTCGTTGGCCACGACCGCGCCAGCTGCCCGCATGTCCATACACCCCAAACTTGCACAAAGTGCTCCAAGGAATTCAAAACATATTTCAAAATATTTTTCTCACTATTATTATTATTATTTATTATTATTATTATTACTATTACTATTACTATTATTATTATTATTATTATTAGTATTAATATTATTATTATTAAATTATAAGATTCAATGCATGCAGAAACCCAGGGCGACGCTGCAGCAAAAGAAAGAGGTGCTGCGCTGCAGCAAGCACAGCGTTTCAGCAGCCTTTGTTGCGACTCAGCAGCAGCAGCAGCAGCAGCAGCAGCAGCTGCTGCTGCTGCTGCTGCTGCTGCTGCTGCTTTCAAGTCCAGACTTGGGAGGCACGGCCAGCCCTCCGGCTCTTCGCTTCGGCGCTCCCGCGCGCTCGCGCGGTGCAGCGCCTCCAACAGCTGCGAAGTTTTGGAGCCCGGGGCCGCGCACATGTCCAGAATCAAGGAGTCGCCCTGCAGCAGCAGCAGCAGCAGCAGCAGCAGCAGCAGCAGCAGCAGCGGCAGCAGCAGCCTGATACATTGCATGCAGAAACCCAGGGCGACGCTGCAGCAAAGGAAAGAGGTGCTGCGCTGCAGCAGGCACAGCGTTTCAGCGGCCTTTGCTGCGACTCAGCAGCAGCAGCAGCAGCAGCAGCAGCAGCAGCAGCAGGGGCCTGGGCCTCCGCTGGCTAGCTGGTGGCTAGCTGTGGCTAGCTGGGAGGCGTCTGTCTTCAAAAAAAACTTACCCGAATTTCCTGTTCAAGAAATAAAGCCGGAATCATCGAAACCACTTCTTGGCGGAAAATCGTTGCAGCTTCGGACTGCTCGACGAGGAACTTGTGCAAATTCCTGGAAAGAAAAGCCACACCGCTGCGCATGCATGCGGCAGTTTGCTGCAGCTGCTGCTGCTGCTGCTGCTGCTGCTGCTGCTGCAGCAGCTGCTGCTGCTGCTGCAGCTGCTGCTGCTGCAGCTGCTGCAGCTGCTGCACCGGCTGCAGCTGCTGCAGCTGCTGCAGCGGCTGCAGCTGCTGCAGCTGCTGCAGCTCGCGCTGGTGCAGCTGCTGCAGCTGCTGCAGCTGCTGCAGCTCGCGCTGCTGCGCAGCAGCAGCAGCACAACCCACAGCAGCGGCTTGCAAGTCCTCAACACGTGGCGAGAGACCTCCAGCTGGAAGGCCTCGCAGCCGCTCTTGTACCACTCCAGGGGCTTCAGCGCGCCCCGCGGGTCCGCGGCGCCGCCGGCTGCTGCAGCTGCTGCAGCTGCTGCAGCAGCATCTTCCTGCAGGCTTGGCAGCAGCAGCAGCAGGCAGCAGCAGCGCGAAAAGCCATCAAGGATGCGCAGCAATCGAAAAAAGTCACAAAACGTGCGCAGAAACGGCTGAAAAAGAGCCAAAGACAGACGGGAACTGCGCGCATCGGGAGAAGCGGGTGAACAGCCAGTGGGAACTGAAAGCAGCGGAATCCACCGGAATTAATGGCAAAAAGCTGCTGCAGTGCAGCACATGGACAAAATTAATGTTTAAAATTGAAGAAGTGCAAAAAAATCTACCTTTCGAGCGTCTTTTGAAGGAACTTGTGCACATAGTGGCGAAAGGGGGTTATAGACACCACGCGGAAGGCAGTGGGCAGGTCGGAGCGCAGACACTCGAGGAAAGCTGTCCACTCCTCTGCGTCACATTTGATTTTTCGCAATTAATTTTTAAAATCTTTTCCAAATTGATGCAAATAAAAGCTGGAAACGCAGGCTAAGGGGGAGGATCGGGGGCCTGGCGGCGGCCGCGGGCTCACCCTCAGGCACGATCTTCTGCTCTTTGTAGAACGCCTCGAAGGCCTCGCTGCGGCGCACAACTCCACTTTGCCAAATTCCTTCGCTGGCCGCCGCTGCTGCTGCCTGGGGGGTCTTCTTTGCGGGGTTTCGGGGCCCCATTGTCCCGGGAAGCCCGAGTGAGCAGCAGCAGCAGGCCAGCAGCAGAGCGAGAAAACTCTATTTTGGAGGTTTCTTGGGGCCTAAAACCCTCAAAATAGAGGTTTTCTTCAGCTCTTCTTCAGCTGTTTAGTGGAATTCGCCGAAGATCGAAAGTGGGAGCCCTTTTTGAGGAGCAGCGAGCAAACGCAGGCCCGCGAGGGCCACAGCCAAAGGCTCGCGCAAGTGCTGACTCATTATCTTAAGTGTTTCAATCAGCTGCTCGGGGCTGCCCTTCACTTGTGGAAGGAAGCCTTGAGGGCTGTGGGGCCCGCTGGCCTTCTGCATGCAGGGCTGCGGTCTTAGCAGCAGCAGCAGCAAACTCTGCTGCAGCAGACTTTGCTGCAGCTCAAAGTCTGCGTTTTGCAGAGTGTTTGGCTTTCAGTTTTGTTGCTGCTGGCTGCTGCGCTGCAGTGGAGCCCGCGCGTGCTGGAGCGTCGCTGCAGCAGCCAGCCGCTGCTGCCTGCTGCTGCTTGCTGCTGCTTGCTGCTGCCTGCTGCGGCTTGCTGCAGCAGCAACCTCATTTTGCGTGGAAACTTTTATTTTTTTCGCAATTTCTGTTTCTTTTTCCTTTTAAAGTCCAGCTAAGCCCTTTGCTGCGCACTTGCCGCCATGGGGGCCGTGCTTTCCAGACAGTTCAGGGAGGGCCCCGGGGCCCGGGCCTCGCGGCGGCTGCGGCGGCTCTGCAGCAGCGGCTACTGGCTGGGGTCCAACTTGGCCTGGATGGCAGTGACTGCGGCCATTTGTTTGGTGGCTCCTGTTATATTTTATTACGAGCGAGAGTGCCAGATGTTCGAAGTGCAGCAGCAGTTCATGGAGGCGCAGCAAGCTGCAGCGCATGCGCAGCAGCTGCAGCAGCTGCAGCAGCTGCAGGCCGCCTAGCCGCGCCCTGCGCTTTCAGTCAGCACTTTTGCTTCAATTCAACTCCAAACTTCGCAGTTTTCGTCTCTTTCCAACAAAATTCAGCTTTATTCGACTCCAAACTCCGCAGTTTTCAACGCTTTCCAACAAAATTCAACTTTGTTCAACTCCAAACTTCGCAGTTTTCAACGCTTTCCAACAAAATTCAGCTTTATTCAACTCCAAACTTCGCAGTTTTCATCTCTTTCGGACAAAATTCAGCTTTATTCAACTCCAAAGTTCGCAGTTTTCATCTCTTTCCAACAAAATTCAACTTTGTTCAACTCCAAACTTCGCAGTTTTCAACGCTTTCCAACAAAATTCAACTTTGTTCAATTCCAAACTTCGCAGTTTTCAACGCTTTCCAGCAAAATTCAACTTTATTCAACTCCGGAGGATTTTGGGAAGTTCGGATTCTCTCGAGAGCAAAAAGACTCTCCTGGGATCAAATTAAACTCCTTTGGACAACATGAAGTGCCTCTTTGCGTTTTGGAGTTCTTTTCTGCGCTTTTCCAGCGACAAAAGCTGCAAAATTGGCTGAGAAGGATCAGAATCTGCAGCTGCAGCAGCTGCTGCAGCTGCAGCAGCTGCACAGCTGCAGCTGCAAGTTCTGTGTATAGGAGTGGATTGGAGCGGTGTTGCAGTTTTTAGCTCTTTTATCGCCAATTATTTAAAATAAATGACTTTTAATGCCGATGTGTCTCAACTGACTCGCTTTCTGGGGCGCTTTCGCCGCAGAACTGCTCGCTTTCGCCTTCCGAAACTCTTCAGCTTTCCACTTGTTGGCAAACGCACAGAGGCTCAGCCGTGCATGCATTTGTCTTCGCAGCATTAAATTCTTGACTGGAAGCTGTTAGAGTAATTTCGAGTAATTTCTTTCTTGCAGAAGCTGTTAGAGTAATTTCGAGTAATTTCTTTCTTGCAGAAAAGTCTTCTGGAGAAGAAGATGGCCGGGCTGAGCCTGAGGGAACAGTGCAGTAGTGCAAGTCCCAGCCCATCACTTGCAGAGAAATTGTCCTCTAAGAAGTTACAACAACAGTTGCTTCTAATAAAAGTGTTCAGCAGCAGCAGTGCAGGCCACCAGGGGAAGACTTGCACAGTGATTGCCACTGTTTTATTGCGCTGAGCGGAAGTTGCTCGAGGAATTGGCAGTTTGAACTCAATAAAGTAGTTAACAATAAATAAAGTAGAAAACAACAAAAATAGAAAGGGGCTCGGCATTCTTAGTTGAAATGAGGAGCAGTTTCTGTTTCAGATCTTCTCAACACAAACAAGAACAAGTTAGTTGTGCTGCCAAAGAACGCTTAGGAAAGTCTTCGTCTCTGCGCGAAAAAGGCACTTTTCTGTTCAGAAAAGCTGTAGATGATGTCTGTGTAGATGAGAAGAGGCTGCAGATGGCCAAATTATTGGAGCATTTCAACAATTTGTTTCAAGAGCTGCTTGATTTGCTGACCCAACATGTGGCACTATTACAAAAAACGCAACAAAAGTTGGATGTAGATGGCACAGGAACATTCTATTCAAACACCAATTGAATAATTTCGAAGAAACTCCTCTACGCCGTCAGCAGCAGCAGCAGCAACAGCAGCAGCAACAGCAGCAGCAGCAACACCAATGCCGCCAAAGTGTTCACGTCTAGCCACACTCTAATGCAGCAGCAGGTGGAGGCGAGGGCTGCGGCTCACTATCCGCAGCTGTGGCCATTTCTTCCTGAAAATGTTTATCAAATTCCTGCTGCTTTCATGCAGCAAACTGCTAATGTGTTGCAACAAGTGCAGAATGCTGCAGAGTCAGATACGCCGCGAGGTGACTTCTGCAATGATGGGCTAACTGACAAGCACAAGTGGCTTCCCCGTCGCCCAAACTCCGCCAAAAAGCAACAAAAAGAGAAGTAAAAGACTTATTGTTGCATTAAACATCAAAAATCTTTGTTTTGCCAGTCTGTACGAAGGCTTCAGTACTGCGATATGCAGAAAGCAGCGCGCGGCTCAGATGATCAGCCGCTAACACAAAGCACCAGGGCTCTCAGCCTGGCCGCCAAAACACTTGACCGCCTCATAACTTGAGGATTTTTTCTTTTATTTTTTCTTTTTTGAATTCCCCAGGAGTTGGGGGACAACTGTAGCACATAAAGCGCGGTGGAAATCGGGGTCGCGCGTACAGAGTCGTACGGGCGAGTCGGTGGCTCTAAAGGCTCCCCTGCTGCACTTCGCCTGGCCAGTCTTTGACTCCAGGGAGCAAATGCAAAAAAACAAAAGACTCAAGACATTGCTTTCCACGCCTTCTCGTTTTCCTCCACTGCTGGAACTCCATAAGGATAGCCAACCATCCAGTTGGCGCACACATACATGCGCGCAGGATCTTCGGGGCTCATGACGGCATTCTGCGCAGTATCAGAGGAAGACAGTGCAGAAAACGAAAATGTAGAAAAAAAGCAGGTATAAACCACCACTTAGACGCTGGAAAGCGACTCCAATTGAAAAGTCTAGACGAAAGGCGCGCGATTAGTGCCTTTTTCTCGTGCAAATAGCACTTTATTGGGTTAAAATTAGCGAAAGAGAGAACAAAACTTACTACATATGGGTGGTAGTCCATTCGGTAGCCAAGAAGATCGCGGTAGTCGTAAGAAGGAGTGCCGAGCCTGTCGGTGGGAAGGCTGGGGTAGTCGACTTTGCACATGGGGAATCCGTTGAGTCTGGGCCCCACAAGTTTGTCGTCTTGAACTCCAAGAAGATTAAATAGAGTAATAAACTCTGGGGAGCCTTTAGAACGGCCGAAAGTGCCGTCGAAATAGGCGCAAGCGTGCTTCGGATAGCCCGGCAAAGAAGTGCCGTAGTCCACTGGTGCAGCTGCTGGCCGCGGCTGCACTGAAGGATCTTGCAGGTCTTCTTCGCCCCAAGTGCGGACTTCGGGCCGGCTTTGGAAAAAGCCGAAGGGAAAGCCGAAGGCAGAACTCACTTTGCTGAAAAAGTTGTACAGCGCGCTGCCTTCTCCTGCACACGCCAACACGCACTGCGCAAGGCTTGCCTTCAGACTTGCGCATTCCCACGCAAATTTGCCGCAAAAATGAAAATAAAAAACCCAGAGTCTTGCTGAGGCCAAGTATTTTGGCCTCAGGAGCAGCAGCAAGAGCCACAAGAGCTCATTTGCACAGAACATCCACTTGCTTACTTCCAACTTGGCTGTCAGATCGCCCCCCAGCCACTGGTGAACTTGAGACGCTCTCAGGCCTTTGGAAAACTTGGCCTGGGGGAGGGCTCTGGCTTGGGCTCTTCATTGCTGCTGAGTTTCGTGTGCGCGACTGAGGGCTCAGGGCTGCTTCCGGGTTTATTAGAGTCCTTCGCTGAGACCTGGCTTGACTGGAGAAACAACCTGCGGAATTAACTGTTTCTTTTACCGTATTAACCTGTGATTCTGCGAAACTGCCTCCGCAACCTGCCGCGGGACCAATGGAGAATCGACCCGAAAAGTGAGCGAAACTGCGAGATTAACCTGCGTTCTAGAGATCACCTAGAGCGTTCAACCTGATACCAATGAGATTTAAAGGGAAATTACAATTTTTTTGACGCTTTCAACTCTGCAGAGACTGCAGGCTGAGGCGGCTAGCTCCCGCGGCGGCTTCCGGCGCTGCCCGTAAACGCCGCGGCAGACGAACTGCTGCACTATTGCGAAGAAACCTCATTGCTGCTGATATTTTCCAAAGGTTTCATTCATAATTAGTCAAAATAACTCTAAATATACTTTTTAAAACCTCGTATATATTTCAGAGTTTCTTTAAGTGATCTAGTCTCTTCACCACGGCAGCAGCCGATTAGCAGCCAGGAAGTGCCAGTGCTATCCTTGCCACTGCAACAAGTTGAACACTGCTCGTTCCTTCCTTTGATTGAGTTAATGCAATGAATTCATATTACATTTGAGATTGTTTAGTTCTGTTTGCCATTGAAAGCAAGTGCAGGATGGCCCCAAGCCAGCGCTGTCCGCTGGCGCCACCTGCTTGCGCGTCGATCTCCACTATTTTTGTTGTTTCTCTCTTGAATTTGCCACTAGGGGCTCCAATGCAATGTTTTAAGTTATTTCTGAAGTGATTAGTTCCTCGGAAGAAGTGAAACCTTCCGGCAACTTGAGCTGGCAGCTGCCTACAATGATCAGCTGCCGCCTGAGGCGATAACTGAAAGGCGCATGTAAAGGCGCTGCCACAGAGTTTTTTGATGACATAGTTGAAAAAGAAGCATTTAAGACCTTTTTAATACCTAAAACGCTTCTAAATATCCATCTAATTGCTGATAGCGAGAGGAATCCGACTTTCAAATGCACCTTCGAATCTGAATTTCAAGTTTTGGCCTTATTGCCGCATGTAATGCAGCGCACCCAGCTTTTTACCGCTCTATGAATGGCTCATTTTGTGGATTTCGGAGTTCAACTTTTCACTTTTTTGCACACAGACCTCCGAGCCTGGCAAAAATAGACTTGGATGTACTTAATCAGTCTCATTGGCGTTTAACAACAACACTCTGGAGTTTGAACAGTTTGTTTTAACACCAAAATGCATAAGTAGAAATCCGAGGGGGCAGCGCAGCTGCAGAGGCTTGCAGCGGGCTTCAGGTGGAAAGCACCTTTGCAGGTGGGGGGTCTTGTGCAATCTGTCACGCCTTAAAAACTAAAAAGAAAACTAAAAAGGAATTAATAAATAAATTAAAGAGAACTATTGCTGAGGCAGCATCGACTCTGGCGTACAGCTATGCAGTCACAATGCAGCAAATGGCGGCTGACTGCACCAGCTTTCCAGCCAGCAGCAGCCACTTGTCCGAACCAGCTGCTCCTTTCCTGCTACTTCAGTTGCTGCTGGACTATCAATTTGGTTTCGGAGAAGGCCAATTGTATTAGGAAGGAGAAACAGTGGGGCTGTTGTGTCCAACTGGCAAGACTTAGATGTGGGAGGATCGAACAGCAGCGTCGCTGGGCGCGGCTGGCTGCCGCAAATCTTTGTTTCCGACACCTCTTACTGTTTCTGCATCATTAAATATCTGCATTACAAAGCTTTTTCTGTTTCTGCATCATTAAATATCTGCATTTCAGAGGTTTTTCTGAGCTCCTTTGCTCAGCAGCTGGAGGATCGCTCTTGCAGACGCCCCGCAGCAGCAGCCGCGGCGTGCAAATTCGGGAAAGCGGCCGGAAGCCCGCAAAGAACAATAAAAACAGCTCAGAAAGGCGAGAATAATAAAAACTGCTGCGAAAGGCGCAAAGATTAAATGCTGAGGGGCCCTGAGTTTCGAAAAAACTTCACTTTCCACCTCTGTCGCGCTCCTCTTGGGTTCTGGCGCGGCCGCCGCAGCAGCAGCGCTGCTCCAGAGGCACGCCCTTCAGACAGGAGTCAATGTGCCTTCCACATCCTTCCCTGCAGAGAAATCAGAAGATTCAACAGAAATGGAATTTCTGAATATTCTGAATTAATGCTTGCGATGAAAGATAAAATATATCATAGAACTGAAAAACAACAACTTAATCCCAATAAATTTTCAAAGAATTTGGCTACTTGGCGATTATTTTCGGTAAAATAACTGCAACTTCGCTGTCTGCCAACGAGGCAGACAGCGAAGTTGCAATTCAAGTAGTGCCGAGGTTCCGCCCGGTTCCGCGGAAACAGCGGAGTAAATAAAGCGGAAAAGACAAATAGAAAAAGAAAACCAGCGAAATATTCCACAGCCTTCGTTTCAATAGTCCACACGAAACACTTTTCTCCACATGACCGACTGTGCCTCTCGGGGTTCCACGTGGGGCCCAGCAGAGGTACTTGGATATTCTTAAGAAGTGTGGATTCGTTGAAGATTAAAGATTGAATTGAAAAGGACTTTTTACGCCGTTCCAGTGTGCACTCACCAGGTGGCCTTCCCGCAGGTTCTGCACGTCACCTGGTGACACATCCTGGCTGGCCTGCAGGACGGAACGCTAAAGAGAAGAAGAAACTAATAAACCTTCACTGCACACGAAAAGCTTTAAAATGATAATTTTATAAAAGGGGCTGTTGCCTCGCTGCTGCTTGTTTGCAACAACTGGAAATAGATGCGCAGACCCAGCCCCTGCCGCCGCCACGCGCAGCCAGTCCAGGCTCCAGCCGCTTCTATCTTTCTATTTCCATTTCTTCGCGACTATTAAATTTAAAAACTAAAAAAAGAGTCATATGAGGGGCAGATCCAGCGATTGGAATTCACGAGAATGCACACACTGTGCGCAACGCAGCGGCTTCCATAGCGCTCCGCAGCACGGCTGCGACACCCGTCCACCTGGCTAGAATCCAACAACTCTGTTGTCCCACACTTAAGTTCGGAATTCAATTTGAATTTTGACTTTTGATTTAGACATTAAGTGAATGGTTGAGGGTTTCAAGTGGTGAGGACAGCCTGCAACTCTGAACACGGAGTCCAATTCGTGAAGTTTCCACTTGGGCTGAGCTCGCTCGACTGCTTTCGCTGCAGTAAATCTCAGCCGATGAGTTCAAGTACTAATCAGAAACAACACCAGCAGCTTTTGGCGGCCACGCGCACCGCCGACCCCCCTTGCCTGCACTATTTTGCAAGTCCTAGAGGCTACGCCAGTCAGTGGGCTCCAAAAAGGGCTGCAGATTCCACAAAGTACATCTCTAATGAACTAATTTCCAGTTTATAGCCTAAATATAAAGAGATTTGGATATCTTGAGTGCCTGTAGACACCAAAGAGCGCGGCGCTACCCACGGCGCGCAGTGCCAGTTGAACATGCAAAAGGCTCGCTTAACCCCGGAATTTTGCACAGCCGGGCGCATGCATGCATTTATTCTTCTTTAAAAGCCCCAATAAACTTTTTAAAAGCCTCTTGGAGTCCAGAAAGCTGCGGAATTAGTCTTGTTGAACGGGCTTGAGGTGGCAGCCCAGCAGCCCGCGGCCGCTCCACCGCCGCGGCACCAGCCACAGCGGCACCACGCGGCTGCCCCGCTGCACCACAACGGCCACGCGTTGGTCTTCGTGGCTCGCCACTTCATTTGGCAGCAATTGGAAGAGTTCTGCAACACTTTTGGGCTTTTCTGCTGCATGCGTTTGCCCCGAAACCGCTCCGGGGGGCCCCCCGGGGGGCCCCCCGGGGGGCCCCCCGGGGGCCCCCAGGGGGCCCCTCCGCGAAGACTGCAGCCGCAGAGACCCCAGACGCAGCACCAAGTCCCCAGCAGCAACTCCCGCGCTGCTGCTGGGGCTCCCTGGCTGCACCAGGTCCACCAGCGCGAACGGGGGCCCCTCTTCTGCAGCGCAGCAGCAGCAGCAGCAGCAGCAGCAGCAGCAGCGCATGCAGCACTTTGCCTCGGTTTGTGGCTAGCTACGTGCACAGCTGCTACACTCTGGCCAGCTAGCCAGCTTCGCGCTGCAGGGCAGCTAGCTAGTTAGCTACAAGCTACCGAATGGCTAGCTGCGGCCAGCTAGCCAGCTGCGTGCTGCAGCGCAGCTAGCTGCTCAGCTAGCTGCGCTGCAGCACGCAGCAGACTAGCTAGCTGGCTGCTTCCGTGCGGGCGACTGCGGCACGCGCAGCAAAGCCGAGCAGCAGCAGCAGCAGCAGCAGCAGCAGCAGCAGTGCTGCAGAACCGGCTCACCTTGCAGCAGCTGCGGGGGGGCCTCCTGCTGCTGCGGGGGCCCCTCTTGCTGCAGCGGGGGGGCCTCGCCGCTGCGCTGCGCTACAGCAGCGGGGCCGGGGGGCCCCTCTTTGGCATTTGCTGCATGCAGCAGCAAAAGAGTTTTCTCCAGCCGCTGCTGCACCTCTCTGTGGTCTGTCTTCAGACAAGCCAGCTGCTGCCGCGCCTGCAGCACTGCATGCACGTCGATGTCGGCCCTGGGAAAGCCCTCGGAGTCCACCAGCCGGCCCTTCAGCCCCGGCATTCCTGCAGCAGCAGCAGCAGCAGCAGCAGCAGCACGGGCACTGCGGGGAGGGCGCTGCGCGCTGCAGCAGCAGCGGCAGCTGCGGCAGCAGCTGCAGCAGCGGCAGCAGCGCGCGCTCTGCGACGCGGGCTGCTGAGTGCCGCAGCAGCAGCAGCAGCAGCAGCGCGGACACTGCGAGGTGGGCTGCAACAGCAGCAGCAGCAGCAGCAGCAGCAGCAGCAGCAGCAGCAGCAGCAGCAGAATGGACTCAGCGCAGCGCGCATGCACCTTCTGCCGTCAGAAAACTCGCGAGGGCCTCCATTCGCTCTTCAATTTGCTGCCGCTCGCGATAAGCCGCCTCTGCCTGCGCAGCCAAAGAGGAAGCGGCTGCGCTTCCCGGGGAGGCTTCGCCTGCCATTTGCGGCGAAGACGGCGGCGCCGAGGCCGAGGGGCTGCTGAATCCGGCCAAGTCCGCGGCCTTTGAGGCTTAAATGTGGGTTCCTTAGCGCCAAAAAACTGAATGCAGACTCAGGAAAGAGTGAAGATCCGGAGAGGAGCTTGAAACCGCCAGAATCTGCAGCCCGAGAGCCCAGACGGACTGCCACTGCAGCCGCCGCACAGCTGCCGCTCCACCGCACCACTCCGCCGAGAAATAGAGCTTTCACGGCAGTCTACACTGAAAAATAAACCAATTAATTCAAGTTCTTCACCCTGGACACCCAAGGAACAAGCCCGGGAGCTTGCCGCGCCAAGCGCTGGCTGCTGCGGACTGCTACTGCTGCGCTTCGAGCCACAGACACGAACGCCCCTGACCAGTCACAGTTAATACTTGATCTCCTGCCGCTATATATTCAATTTTGAATTCTCTCAACGAATTCAAACTACTAACAATGAATTCAAGATCAGGTTAACACCGCGCTGCTGCGTTTCACGCGCCGCCTCTGCGTGAAGTTGAAATGCCCATTGAACCAGAAGAAAGCTGGTGTCTGCACTGACTGAGATATCTGCAACAGTTGAATTCTCAATTCAAATCATAAAAAGAAAAGAAAGAACACTAATCAAAATGCGAGACTCATCAGTGCAGAGCGTGAGGACTTGCCCATCACCGGTGATAGCTCAGTTGGTAGAGCGGCAGACTGTAGATGCTGCGGTTATCTGTTGGTCCCTGGTTCGATTCCGGGTCACCGGACTTCTTTTTGCATTTCAAAAACATTTATAATTGCTGCTTCTCCGCGGAATTCCGTTTTCGGGAACTCCGCAATCCAAAAGAAAGCGGACAACTTCGTGTGCAGCTTCCGCTGCTCCCTGCTTGCAGCGCCACCCGCAGCAAACACGAAAGCTGCGCGATCTCACTCACTGGAACCTCACAGAAGCCTCTCTCAGTTATTTGCAACAAAATAATAATAAAACGCGCAGAATGGCTGCAGTAGGGCCATTTACTTGAGGGTTTCCCCAACACAGACAAGGGCAGCGCCACCTCGCTGGGCTAGACCACTTGCATGCAACTTGCAATTTTCAAGTTGCGAGAACTGAGAACTAATTTGAAAATGCTTTAATAGCTCTTCATTGAGCAATGAAAAAAAAGGGTCGAACTCTCGAGTTAGGAACTCAGGGGGCCCCTCTTGCTGCAGTTTCCTTCAGCTTTCCACTTGTTCAGATTTGCGCAGTGTGTCCGGTGTCTCAGGCTCAGTAACGCGCCTCTGAAGACATTTTGGAGGGATCTTGCAAAGAATTTGCGCACTTTTATATATTTAATATATATTTTAATGCATATTTGCACATTTTAAGGGGCAATTGCGAAAAACTTGGAGATACAAGGGGAATTTGTAACAATATCCGCAGTCAGAAGAAAGCTAGTCGGCACAGCGGCGCGCTGTGCAGAAGCCTCGGACTCGCATGCAGCTGCTGCAGCATGCAGCAGCAGCAGCAGCAGCATGCTGCTGCAGCATGCTGCTGCTGCAGCATGCTGCTGCAGCAGCTGCTGCAGCATGCAGCAGCTGCTGCAGCGAAGCCTCCAGAAGCTGTTTGTGCAGGAAGTTGAGCTCTCGAGGCTCTTGGGAGTTTGAGAAGAATAAATTAGAACAACTTGTCGAAAAAGTTTGCAATTCCACTTCTTCGTTTGAACAATTTGTCGAAAAGTCCAAAGTTTCCGCTTTTCTGTCCGCAAGCTCCTCTGCTGCTGCTGCTGCTGCTGCTGCTGCTGCTGCTGCTGCTGCTGTCAGTGTTGCTGCTGTCTGCACACCTGCAGCCCTGCGCGCTGGCGCTGGCAAACGAAAAGACTTTTTGCCACTTTGCAACATTTTGGAAAAGAATCTCCACTAAGAACTGCAGCAGCAGATCAAACTGCAGCAGCAATTTGATCAAACTGCAGCAGCAATTTGATCAAACTGCAGCAGCAATTCGATCAAACTGCAGCAGCAATTCGATCCAACTGCAGCAGCACTTCGACTCCATTTGAACAAAAACGAAGTCCGCCAGCAGCAAATTCGGCCCCAAGTGCTGTTCTCCAGGCCGCAGCAGTGCGGCGACGCGAAACCGGCTGCTGCTGCTGCTGCTGCTGCTGCCGCTGCTGCTGCTGCTGCCGCTGCTGCTGCTGCTGCTGCCGCTGCTGCTGCTGCTGCTGCCGCTGCTGCTGCTGCTGCTGCTGCAGCGGAACTTCAGCGAAGCCTGCGTCTGCTGCTGCTGACGAGAGTTGCTGCGCGCAGCAGCAGCAGCAGCAGCAGCTTCACTCGTCGTCGGCCTCTTCTGCTGTGGGCGATCCGTCTGCTGCAGTTTCGCCCTCGCGATCTTCTTGAAGTTTTTCTTCTTTTTTCATCAGCGCTGTTATCTTTTCGTTGACTGTTTGGATCTTCGCCAGGATCTCGGCCTTCCGCTCGTCGACCTGCGAAGCCGCAGCCAGCTAGCCACGAAACGCGCTTCTAGCTAGCTAGCTAGCTGGCTAGCTGGCTAGCTAGCTAGCTAGCTGGGGTGGCTCGGCGCTGCCGCTGCTGCTGCTGCTGCTGCTGCTGCTGCTGCGCGCTGCGGCGGAGGTGGCTGTACACCGCAACGGCTGGCGGGCCCGGGGGAAAGCGCGGAAGGAGGAAAGCACTATTTGAAGCACTATTTATATAATTGTTTACCTTTTGCGCGCTTTCTTGCTGCAATTCTTTGTAGTTTTTCAACTTTGCTTCCAACTTTTCCAAACAAGTCGGGACATCTTCCATGAGGACGGGCGCGGTGAGCTGCGCGAGGTGCGCATACACCCGAGAGCGGCGCGGCGTTCAGCGCGGATTCTTCGGATCATTTAATTCAAAAGTGGACTTTTTGATTCAAAACTGGACTATTTAATTCAAACTGAACTATTTAATTCAAAACTGGACTATTTACTTCAAAACTGAGCCGAATAAGCGGAAAATTCGAAAAAAATGCAAGTCCACTCACCCCGCACTGCTCGAAGTAGGCCAAAGTGCCCACGTCGTACTTCAAAGTCTTCGGCTTTTCCTTTTTCTTCTCGTGATCTTTCGTCTGTTTTCCTTTTTGCTTCGGCGCGTAAAAAAAGACTTCTTTTCGTTGGCTCTTGGGGGGCAGCGCCCCGGCCAGCTGCGCGCAGCCAACGCAGCACTTTACTTTAAAAAATTACTTTTTCAAAATCTTTTTTGCTCTTTTTAGTCCAAGTCCGCAGCAAGCAGCAGCACTTTGCAAACAAAAGCACTTGTGTTTAAAAGCCTTTTAATTCCAAGAAGTCCGCAGCAAGCAGCAGCCCTTTGCAAACGCATGCAGTGAGTTCAAAACTTCTTTTTTTTTCATTTTTTTTCATTTTTTTTGCTTTTTTTTTTATTTTTTTGCTTTTTTTTTTTGCAAGTCCGCGCGGCTGTGGGGCCCCACCTCCTCAGCCACGGGCTCCGCCTCCGCGGGCTTCTCCGCGCTGCTGGCCGGAGGGTCTTCGGCGATTTTTTGCAAAAATTGAATTGTTTGCGAAAGCAGCAAACACTCCGCCTCATAAGGCAGTTCGGACTCCACTCTTTCGAGGTCTCTCGTGAGCTGCATGCGTTCGTTCTCCAAGTTCCGCCGTTCGCGCTCCTCGCGCAGCTGCAGCAGCAGCAGCAGCAGCAGCAAACGCTGCAGCAGCAGCAGCAAACGCTGCAGCAGCAAGGCCCCTAATGCTGCAGCAGCAGCAGCAGCAACACCGAATTTGCCGCCTCACCTTCAGGCCCCGCTCGCGCTTCACCTGCTGTATGTACGCCTGGTGCTTCTGCATCTGCAGACGCATGCATGCGCAGCTGCGAAGCAGCACAAGGTGCAGCAGCAGCAGCAGCAGCAGCAGCAGCAGCAGCAGCAGCAGCAGCAGCAGCAAGCTCAGCCCGCAGCAAGCGCCGCCAGCCCTGGGGCTGCAGTACCTCGCGGCTCAGCTCCGCCTGAATCTCCCGTCTCTGCAAAAAAAGAAAAAAAAAGAAAAAAGAAAAAAAGAAAAAGTGACAAATTGGATCTTCTGTCGAAGACGCTGCAGGCCCGCCAGGTGTACAGACACCCCAACGAAGAACAGACACTTACATTCACAAAGTGTTTATTCATTTCTGCAGAAAGTCTTTCTCTCTCTTCAATCATTTCGCGGCCCGGCGCTGTTGCCTTTTGCCTGCAGCCACAGCAGCAGCAGCAGCAGCAGCAGCAGCAGCAAAATCAGCAGCAGCAGCAGCAGCAGCAGGAGAGTGGCCAGTGCGGGCGACGGGGGCTGGGTGGAGAAGTCGGCAAAGAAGCAAACAGCAGCAGCAAAAGCAACAAGTGCAAAAGGCTTTGCTGCAGCAGCTTTGCCCTTTGCTGCAGCAGCTTTGCCCTTTGCTGCAGCCTTGCTGCAGCCTTGCTGCAGCTTTGCTGCAGCTTTGCTGCTGCTGCGCCGCAGGTCTGCTGCAGCTGTGCTGCAGCTGTGCCTCAGGTTTGCTGCAGCTTTGCTGCAGCTTTGCTGCAGCTTTGCTGCAGCTTTGCTGC